TTTCTAAGTTATTATTTCTTTATATTTTAATGAACAAAAAAATTCACTATTTTTATAACCACTAAAGTCTAACAATAGCCTTATTTGTAGGGCCATTTAGTAAAATGGAAATTGCACGAATTAGCCGGATCTACTTAATTATATAAATTTATATTTAAAGCATACTTTATTAATAAATTTAAGGAAAATATTATATAGAAATTGACTAAAACATTAACTTTAACTAATTCGATCGGAGAAGAAATTATAATCTTATTTATTTTGATTATAAATAATTTAACGTGCGAAAAAAAAGTTAGTGCAAGGCATTTGAATACCATTCGGTCTGAAAATATCTATTTGAAGGGCCAAAGCCAGATACCCACAATCACAATCAATACATGTTTGAACTATTTAGAAATCTTAATATTAGGAAAAATTTACAACAACAACAATAATTACTACTTCAATTTTCTCATTTTACCTATCATACTATCCTTTTTGTTCCAAATAGGTGTCTCCTTTCCTTTTTTAGAAAGAAATATGTGTTCTACATTATTTTAATTTATTATATTCAAACTTTAACCACAGATGTTACTTTTTCAACCTTTTTTAATAATCGTGTCAAGTCAATAAAATTGGACGGGTACTATTATTATTATGGTTGGAATTGGATTTCAAATAATTATGATCCATTGGATGCAATAAACATGATTGTTTACTGGAAACTGGCAAGACAAGTACGAAATAAGTCAGAACCATGATATCCCCTTTCTTGAAGGATCAAAGCGAGAGATAACTCACAATAAAAGCCAGATACTCACAATCACAATGAATACATGTTTGAACTATCTAGAAATAAGTTTTGTTAGAGGTATTCCAAAATGTACTCCATTTTTACCCCACACCATAATGTGTGGATATAAATGATCCGGGGTAGAGACGTCCGTCCCATGAGTTTCCTCCTGCTTCCTGTCAGAATCTTGACTTCCTGTCAAGGAGTGGAGACGTTTGTCCACATGAGCTTGCCTCATTTATGACAACACATTATCGTGTGAAGTAAAAATGGGGTACATTTTGGGGTACCTCTAGCAAAACTCTTTAGAAATCTTAATATGCACTCATTAAATAATCAATTATTGTCAAATAAGGAAATAAGAAGACGTGTTAAGTTAATTTCGGGACTTCCCAAAAAGGAAAGTGGGAAGTTGTTTGAGAACCGGAGGGAGTACATGTTTGAGCTATTCATACATTTAGTTTAACTCTCATAAATGTCTAATTTTATACTTCGTGTAATATACATTTACATCAAATTCGACTTTTATTATTTGATAATCTATAAATGTTTTTAATTAGATTGAAATTTGGTAGTTTAATCTATTTAAATCTAATCCGATTTAGTTTGATCTGAACAAGTGTAGTCAGGTAAAGGTAAATATCTGATATCTGTGTAATTATGGAAGTCCAGTCTAATTTATTTAAATATGATATGGTCTGATTTTGATTTGTTTAAGTCTGTTGTAATCTAGTTTGAGACCGAAAACAGATCATGATATCCTCATACCCAGCTCTGATTATGAATTGAAATACAGAAATACCGAGTAGAATAGAGCAGATAATTGATACACGTAGTATTAACAAGTTTTTATAAGTATATTTCAAATAAAATAAAAATAGATCATAAACATAAGGATAAACGTTTATTTGAAGTGTTTTCTTATACCTTGTATGGATCCATCGAAGAGTGGAAAAGGCGGTGCAGAGAACAACAACGGGGATGAAAGAAGTATCAATTTCAGCGTTTCCTTTCCTTTCAACAATGATACTTATAAGCAAATTTATTTCAAACTCCTACAAAGTCGAGAGATCTCCAATATTATTATAATATGCACACCGTTGTTGATGCACATGTAATGATAAATAGAAATTGTCCTATATAAACATAAACATAATTGCATAAATAAGAGTATAACTTAAAACTTCTTTCAATAAACATAATTGTCCTATAAACATTAATTTTGTACCCTTAAATCCTAACCTAGTTAATTCTAAAATATGACTTATTTAATCTTAACCTAGTTAATTTATGACTTATTCGATAATAATAATTTATTTATTTATTTATTTTTCATAAGTAGGTTAATATGACTCTGTAAATTAAATAAAACTTCCTAATGTACCCATAAATTAACTAGGTTAATAATTTATTTCCTAATAATTCTAAAAATGTACCCATAAATTAACTAGGTTAATAATTTATTTATTTATTTAAAAAAAAATAAAAAACTCAAAAAAATAAAATAAAATTCACCGCCGCCTCTGCCGCCTCTGCACCACCACCTCCAGTCACCAGGGGAAAAATGCCAAGTTCATTACGAATGCCATATTTATGGCAGAAAATAATGAAAATGTTGGCATTCGCAAAGAGAAATATGTCATGTTTTTGGCATTTTCAGAAAAAATGGCAGTTTTTAGGAAAAATGGAATTTTTTTCACCGCTCGGAGGTGGTGGTGCAGGAAGGTAGTACAGGCGGTGGGAAAGACATCCATATATTTTTTAAATTTTTTATGCAGTTTTACTATTTTTTATTAATTTTTAAAAAATCTAAAAAATTTAAAAAATATTTTTTTTAATTTTTTTATTTTATTAATATTTTATAAATTTTGTAATTATTTTTCTACGATTTTTTGATTTTTTTCGAATTTATTATGAATTAAATATTTAATTAAAAGTTGTTGGGGCTTAGGACTTGGGTAGGGGTATACTTGTCCAAACACTAAAGTTACTCCTATTCAAAACATGAAACTCCTATTTTTGCATTTTGCCTATGTTTTACTCCTATTTGGGGAATTCTCTCAATGATAAATACGTAAATACTACTCTCTTCGTCCCGCTAAGATTGTCTCATTTTATCTTTTCGAAAAATCACACTAAAATTATCTCATACCATATTTGGTAAAGTTTGTGTGACTCTTAATCATTCTTACTTTATCATTCTTTATCAACCACATAAACTCACTTTTCTTAATAGCCGTGTCACCTTCTTCCATCTCAATGTTAGTGGGACGGAGGTAGTACGTATTAGTAAATAAAATACGAGTACCATTTTTATTATTCGAACGATCTTATATAATATATATTTTTGATAATTTTGTTTACATATTGTCAAAAAAATCTCTAAATGTAGAGATTTTTGACATTGTGGTTTTTATGTTTTAACTCTCTTATATCATATAAGTACCGTAAAGATCATATAAAAGATCAGATTTTAATTAAATCAAATCTAAGTCCAATTTTGTTCACCCCTTTAATTAAGGAGAGTGAACTTTAAGTGGTTCCTCCAATGCATGTCATTTCGCATTACAATTACTATTTGAGAAAATGAAAACTAATAATTCAACATATTAGCGATCTTCTTGCAATAATCTCACCGTATCGTAATTCAGAAATAATACAACCCTTGCACCTCATCTTCACTCTCTGGTCTCTAACAAGTTGATAACCTGCTATTCAAGGTTTTTTCCATTTTCTTTGCAAATCATTCAACCATAAATCTCACATTCTACAAATCTTCTCGAAATGATCCCACATATGATTTTTTTTTTCTTCCTAAAATTTTTCTTCCTTTTAATATATTCCTATTCGTTGTAGTCTCTTATTATAATTTTTTTCGGGCTACTTGTTTATTTTTTTTCTTTGAATTTTTTAGAAAAGAGAAAAATAAAGGGGACATTCCTCAAATTGTACTTAATGAAACTTTAATTGCAAGAGTATGAGTTTAATTTCAAATTTCGTTAAATAGAACTAGCTTTCCAATTCTATCCTCGTTTTGTTTAGTGCAATTCATATTTCATTAATAATTAAACATAAAAGTAATAGCATAACCTTATTTATAATAAAATGTAGAAAAAAATATTAAATAAAATTAATAAAACTAAAACATTAGAAAAATGGAAATTATAAAATTATAAAATATTTAAAAAAATATTAAATAAATTTATCCTCGGAAATTTTAACGAGCCCGTCACTTGCTCATTAACGTGCACGTTATTCCACGTGGCACTTAATTTAAATTAAATGCATTTCTGTCTCTAAAATTAAATCTAAACATCCATCCCCACATATTCTCCATATCTATTCTGCCATGAATGCATTTTCCGACCAAGACCAACTTGATGAGAGAGAAGAACAAAGGTCGAGATGAGGTAGATGCCACCCAGAATTTCACGCCGCCGTACGCATTGAAGCCAGGTAACGAAGCCGCCAACTCTGCTTGTGGTCGGGATGAGGTTGATGCCTCCCATAATTTCACGCCGCCGAACGCATCGATGCCAGATAACGAAGCCGCTGACGCTGCTTGCATGATTTCTTCTCTGCCGTGAACTGGTATGGCTCTCTAGCCAGGTCAGATTGCTGCAATGGTTTTTGAGAAAAAAAAAACCCTTTAGGCGTAATCTTCTGGAGGAGAATCGAAAGATTGTGTTGGGCGTCACACATCTTTTCCGCATCACATTTATTTTATTTTTGTTGTACAAATTAGTTGTATAATATTGTAGCATTTTTGTATCCTTGTGAGCTACGTTTTGTGAGAAGTCCAAGTAGAGGAGAACTCTTTTTTCCTCTTCTCGCGCAACTAGGGCACTCTCCATCTTTGTATATATCACGCATGCATACGACGTGATAAGCACAGATATAAAAATTAAAATTCTCTTCTCCAATTGGTTGATCTCTTAGATTATTATTGTTCTTTTTCTGGACTGCACAAATTTCTCATGGCATCAGAGCAGGTTGGTGGAGAACGTGACGATGGAAAGGCCGACAGAGACCTTGTTGACCGACGGATGATTAATGACCCATCTTCCCCTTATTTTCTCCCAAATTTGGACTTTCCCGGTTTGAACATTTGTGGAGTTGTTCTCAAGGGAGAGTAATTACCGGGAGTGGGCTACGGCAATGAAAAATGTTTTCCGTGCAAAACGGAAAATTGGCTTTCTTGACGGAACGATTGTGCGTCCGACAAAGAAAGAGGAGGATATTGAAGATTGGTTGAGTGTCAACTCAATGTTGGTGGGTTGGCTCATGACCGCAATTGATGCGGTGTTGCGGAGCAATATTGCTTATATGGACAGTGTCCATGATTTATAGGAAGATCTCAAGGCTAGATTTGAGGTTGGAGATGCTATGCGCACACATGAACTCAAGGAGCTCAGACGAGGATGCCGGCAGAACGGGGAATCTGTCACAACTTACTTTGGACGTCTCAAGGCATTGTGGGACGACTACGATGGATTGCGGAATGTCCCATAGTGCACTTGTGGCGGATGTACTTGTGATTTGAAGAGGAAGTTTCTCAAACATGTAGAAACCGAAAAAATACATGAATTTCTTATGGGATTAGATAATGAGAAGTTTGGTACGATGAGGTCAAACGTGCTTGGCTCGGATGATTTACCTAGTCTCACCAAGATATATCATATGGTGACTCAAGAAGAGCATCATCAAAACTTGACGCGTGGAAGGGACGAGAAGGGCGAGGTTGTGGCCTTTGCTGCACGAACCGTGAACAATGGAGGAGAAAAGGAAGAAAAGAGGAAGTGCAGTTTCTGTCAACGTACTGGACATGAGGTGGAGAACTGTTTCCGGCGAACCGGAAAGTATCCAGAGTGGTGGTTCGAAAATCCAGCTCGTGGGCGCGGAGGCAGAAACCGAGAAGGAGGAGCAGGAGGCCGTGGTAGGGCAACCGCACATGCGGTGCAAACTGGACACTTTGAACCTGAGACTGTCAGTCAGTTTGAAGAAAAATCAGGTGTTGGACACAACCCTGGCTTCACGGATGAGCAGTGGCAGCAGGTCATGAAGCTTTTGGAACAATGTAAGCCGGTGTCAACTGAATAAAAAATCACAGGTATACACGGTGATACAAACTGGCTCCTTGATTCGGGAGCATCCTCTCATATGACAGGTGATCATACGGTTCTCGAAAAGAAGACAAAAATAGCTCCAATTTCGGTGACATTACCGAATGGGAGTAAGACTCTGGCTACTCATGTAGGCGACGTATGGATTAGTGATCAGATGAAATTAACAAGTGTATTACTTGTGCCGGGATTGCACTGCAATTTAATATCTTTGGGAATTTTGATTGATAACCAAAAATGTGATATATTTTTTACTAATGATTTATGTGTGATACAGGACCTACCTACGAGGATGCCGATTGGAGTGGGTGAACGAAAGAGGGGAGTTTACTATTTTAGGAGTCTGGACCATGCTCAAGTTCACGCCGCGGCAACGACGGGCTCTTTGGATTTGTGGCACTTACGGTTGGGACATCCTTCTGTTAGAGTTCAACGTTCAATTACTAGTTTGAATAAGTTTTTGTTTGATTCAGTTAAAGTTGATTGTTGTGATGCATGTTTACGTGGAAAACAAACGCGTGAAAAAATTGAGATGAATAAAACTCGTGCAATAGATTCTTTTGAGCTTGTTCATTGTGATGTATGGGGCCCATATAAAACACCATCTACTTGCGGAACTCGTTATTTCTTAACTATTGTAGATGATATTTCTAGAGCTGTTTGGGTGCATTTGATGACTAATAAGAGTGATGTGAAAGTGATTTTTGCACGATTTCTTGCAATGGTGGAACGACAATTTAATAAAAGGGTCAAGGTGATTAGAAGTGACAATGGAAAAGAATTTCAAGGAATGAAAGAATATTTTTCTTCCCTTGGAATAATTTTTCAGACAACTTGTGTGTACACTCCTCAACAAAATGGAAGGGTAGAAAGGAAACATAGGCATATTTTGGAAATTGCACGAACACTCAGGTTTCAGACCAATTTGCCTATTGAATTTTGGAGAGAATGTATATTGACGGAAGGATATTTAATAAATCGCCTGCCCTCACCAATCATTGGGACTAAGAGTCCTTATGAGGTTTTGTATAAAAGGGTGCCTTCATACTCTCATCTTAAGGTATTTGGTTGTTTGTGTTATGTGCATAACAAATCTACATTGGGTGATAAGTTTAATGCACGGGGTCTACGGTGCGTATTTTTGGGTTATGCATATTCACAAAAGGGTTGGAAGGTGTATGATTTGGAAAATCATTGTCACTTTGTGAGTAGAGATGTAAAGTTCTTTGAGCATATGTTTCCATTTAGAGATAAATGTGATATTGTGAGACCTAGCAATTTGGAACCAATGGATATGGTACATATTAGTACGTATGAAATTGGCGGGGAGCATGAGGAAACCACTGCTGATGTTGGACGGCAGCATGTGTTGGCAGCTCCCCATGCAAATGATATGGATGCTGACCTGGAGTCTTCTGACCGAAATAATTTGGACACACAAAAGGAACTAGCCCATACAGTGGAGGAAATTACATGCAGGGAATAGAAAATTCACATGCATCTGGTAACCTAGACCTGCGGCGTAGTGAGAGACAGCGAAAGATACCCACATGGCACCGGGATTATGAGGTGAAGCTGAATATTGTGTATGTAAACTCTCCCCCTCTTGTTCGCTCGCCTCCAATGGTTGATTCAGGTAATCCGTATCCCTTAACTCATTATATAAAATATGATCATTTTTCGGTTCCGCACCGTGCTTTTCTTGCAGCGATATCTGTGACGAAAGAACCAACCACTTTTAGGGAGGCCGTGCGTGATCCTCTTTGGCTTGAGGCAATGGGTAGAGAAATAAAGGCTTTAGAGGACACTGGAACTTGGAAAATTCAAGATTTGCCACCCTGAAAGACAGCCATTTTTTGTAAATGGGTGTTCAAAATTAAACACAAAAGTGATGGTTCTGTGGAAAGATACAAGGGGCGCGGCTGGTGGTGTGTGGCAATAGACAAGTGGAAGGTATTGACTATAGTGAGACATTTGCACTGGTTGCCAAAATGGTAACTGTTCGCACTATACTAGCGGTTGCAGCTTCTTGTCACTGGGAGTTGCGTCAAATGGATGTGAACAACGCATTTTTGCATGGAGACTTGCATGAGGAAGTATATATGTATTTACCACCTGGCTATATTGCTTCCTCTTATGGCAAGGTATGTAGATTGCTCCAGTCTTTATATGGGTTAAGGTAGGCCCCAAGATGTTGGTTCTCTAAAGTGACCACATCATTGAGGGCGTATGGTTTTTTTCAGTCTCACGCCGATTATACTCTATTTACTTTGCAGTGTGAGACACGTATTTTGTGTGTATTAATTTACGTGGATGACTTGTTGATCATTGGAAATGATCATGCTATGATAGAGTCGTTTAAGAAATATTTGGCTGCTACTTTTCCTGTTAAAGATTTGGGAGTGATGAAGTATTTCTTGGGAATAGAAGTTGCCCGTAATCCCACTCGAATTTTCTTATGTCAACGCAAATACGTGTTGGACATATTGGCTGAGACAGGTTTAAGTGGTGCTAAACCAGTGGCATTTCCCATGATCCAACATCATGGACTGCAATCTGACACAGGATCTTTCTTTTCTGGCCCGGAGCGGTATCGGAGATTGGTAGGAAAGTTGATTTATCTTACTTTGACTCAACCTGATATCAGCTATTCCATACATATTTTGTCCCAATTTATGCAAAATCCGAGACAAGCACATTGGGATGTTGTGGTTCGAGTTTTGAGGTACTTGAAGGGTTGTCCGGGACAAGGTATATTGTTACCTTCGGATTCATCTCTTTCTTTAACTGGGTATTGTGATGCAGACTGGGCTAGTTGCTCGAATACACGACGTTCTGTTACAGGATATTTTGTCTCACTTGGGCGCTCTCCCATCTCCTAGCGCACCAAGAAACAGGCGACTGTGTCCCGTTCATCTGTAGAGGCAGAGTATCGTTCTATGGCAAGCTTGACATGTGAGCTCATTTGGCTACAAAATTTGTTGCGCTCTTTGGGGGTCACCAACTCTACGCCTACTTCACTATTTTGTGATAATAAAGCGGCCTTACATATTGCCTCCAATCCGGTATTTCACGAGCGCACCAAATATATAGAGCTCGACTGTCATTTTATACGTGATCATATTTTAGCTGGAAGGATCAAGCCTTATTATATCTCTACTACGGAGCAACCTGCGGATTTACTGACAAAGGCGCTTGGAGCTCAACATTTTTTATCCCCATGCTCCATCTTGAGGGGGGGGGGGGGGGGGGGGGGAGGGTGTTCGGCGTCACACATCTTTTCCGCAGCACATTTATTTTATTTTTGTTGTACAAATTAGTTGTATAATATTGTAGCATTTTTATATCCTTGTGAGCTACGTTTTGTGAGAAGTCCAAGTAGAGGAGAACTCTTTTTTCCTCTTCTCGCGCAACTAGGGCTCTCTCCATCTTTGTATATATCACGCATGCATACGACGTGATAAGCACAGATATAAAAATTAAAATTCTCTTCTCCACTTGGTTGATCTCTTAGATTATTATTGTTCTTGTTCTGGACTGCACGAATTTCTCAGATTGGGAGCTTTTGTATCTGTAGTTTTTTAACTACATATGATCAGCAATTGATAATCTACTTTCTTTTTTTTGTAAATGTTTTTAAATCCTTTTCCTACTAGTTTGTGAACAAATTATTGTGTACTTGCATTGCTCTGTCTGAACACTTTTTCTTTAATTGAAACCATGAGATAATTAGAGCATTTGTGATGAGCACATGTGTACACTTTGACTTTAGGTTTAGTTATGGTGCAAAAAAGCTTGTTCTACGTACTGCATCATTTCTTTGATGAATTTGAACATACGCAGAGTTTTGGGTGTAATTAGATTTGCATTTTTTTGCATTTATTAAAACGGTATGATGTGATGCTAATAGTCTTGTGCTTTAATTTATACACAACTCTGACTTTCGTGATTCAATTGCTAAAGATGTGGTCTGCAAATTATATATGTGACTTAAAACTTATTTAGCTAATGAAAACAAAGATAAGTTAGATTTAATTTTAGTTACTTATTTTTAATCCCAAGGAATATGCAGTTCATGATTGAGTTGGGGGAGTGCTAATAAAAGAATTTTAGTGATGCCAGTCAAGAATTTAATTGCAAAGGAAATGATATGTCAAACTGAACCAAGAAGATAAGAACCAGGTGTTGTTGCGACGGGAAATATAAAGAGATGACCCAGAGAGTTTGAAACCAGCAACTTATGAAAATAGCCAAAACACTTCACTGTTATATAATACTCCGTATAATACTCCGTAGTATAAGCAATACTAGTACTACGTATTACTTATAATTACATACTATCCTCCCTTTTTTAATTGCAACATGTTGACTTTTTGTGTTCACACGATCTACTTTGATCACATTTTACACTATTATTTTATGAAAATTATTTTTTTAAAAAAATATTTTTCAATTCATCTCATCACAAATTTTCAAAATCTGATTTTTAATATTTTTTATTAATAGATATTAAGATATACTTACGGTCAAATGTGTGCGTTGACAAATGTACAAAGGTTAACTGTTGCAACTAAAAAAATGGAGGAAGTATATTAGTATAAATTACGAACTCTCTCTCAATAGATACCCACCCACTCTGCAACTAACATAATTATTTCTAACCACCTCAATAATGTTTCCGGTCAGATAAGAAAAATACTTTCAGATAAAAATATTCCCGGTCAAATAAATATCTCTGAATAGATACTCACCCACTCCGCAACTAACATTATTATTTCCAATCAGCTCAATAATGTCTCCGACCAGATAAAAAACGTGTATTCATGAGCATAATTTGGGGATGTCAAACGCCTATTTGATTTAAATGACAATATTGCACATTTTTTACTTATGCTGAATAACTTATGATTTATAACAAATACTAACAATTTCTTTCAAAAAAATAATACAACCAAGCATATAAACTAAAATAAGGAAAGCTTATAAACTGGTAGCGAGGGAGTTCCCACAAGGGTTAGATCCCGGAGTCGAATCCCGACAACTACGATAAGAGATTACCATGCTAAAAAATGTATAGGGCCTCTGCAAGTACCGATGATATAGCCCCACTCTCTATCTGTCAGATTGTGATTATAGTTCAATTTACATCCTCTCAACGTACCGTCAGATCGGAGTTGGGACCCTCAAGGTTGGGATGTCATCCTTTTTTTGGAAATACTCCGTCAAACACTGTAGGGGGACGGAGTGGGGTGACTGGGTGCCGGCTGAACTATGAGAAGGTAAAAAGATCAAAAAAATTACGCCGTCAAACACCACCTGCACAAGTCAAATACGGACCAGAAAACCGAAAAGAAATTACACTTTTTGGAATCAAATGTTACAAACCTACGCTTATCCGTCAAACACTCTCAGCATGGCACTTGTTTCTAAATACTTGGTCCCACGCCGCAATCACGTTCTCTCCGTTATAGATAAGAACAGAGTCATACATACACGTGTCCACGCAGTGTAGAGACAGGGGTGGCTGACGGTCTCGGGCCCTGCATCATT